CAAGTTTGCTAAACTGAAAACAAACACATGCTGCATCTCCGCGCGGGAGCTTGCCAATAATGAGCCGGGGAGCCGCGTTTATCCCCCTTCATCCTAGGAGGGGGAAAAGGCTCCATATGTCGGCCTTTTTCAACCGCGATGAAGGGCGCCCTCGTTGGCCGGAACAAGATCTATAGATCACCGATTGGTGATCTGTTGGTTTCTGAAGAAGAAAAAAATAGGGCACTCTTTATTTACACCGGTTTGGCGGTGCTATCACGAGAGATGACCGTGTTACGTTATAGCCAGGGGGGGGGGGGACTTCACAAGGCTTTTCCCGCGTCGTGCCGAGTGTGCGCATGAAAACCCAGGAGACTGGAGGCCATTTCACAAACTGGGCACCCAAACAACAAGCCAAGGCTTGTGCCCAACAAGTGCACAACGCATGTGTTGTCGCAACTGATTCCCGCTCAATCCGTACTCGGTGGTGGCATCGACGGAAAACGAAATATTTTCTGTGAGACCCATGTTTATGGTCGCCAAATCTTTGAAAAAAATCTTCAAATGTTGTCAAACATTTGCGCGCGAATATCTGCCAGAGGAACATTGGAGTACCGTTTTTATGGGCAAAAAAATCTTTATCGTGTGGTTTTCTCGAAATGCATCGCACGTGCGGCGGGAATCGTGGTCTACTGCTACCAAACGATTTGTGACAGACAAACCACAAATGCGTCATGGAAACTGAATGTAACGAGCTCGCAAAGGGCTCCCCACAACCCTTGATGCACTGAGCTGATGCTGTGCCCGCCAATATGTGGCGATAGCACTCCGGGCGTGGGAGAAAAAATGTTCTCGGTGTCAAAAAAGAGACCAAAACGTGCGTCAGCGCTTCCCAACGGCAAAAACTCGGCGGCTTGAGAGGAGAGGTGAGTACAAAACTATCCAGCTCTCGTCCTCTAGACCATCGATTCATGTTTTGTCTTCTTGGGTGTCTTCTCCATCAACGACTACTCATCCGGTTGTGCGTGGGTTGGCAGTGGCCGCGCTCAGCCGGCAGGGAGGCACATCGTTGTGCGCGCAAAGTTGTGGACACAACGTTTTTTTCGGTCTATTTTTTCACTTGAATATAGAGGGCTTGTTCCTCCGTCCCAAAAAAGACTTTTTCAACACATCGAGTTCACAGCGACGCGCCTCCCTGCCTGGTTGAGTA